ACATTTTCCATCCTCTTTTAAAACTTTTAAAAATGCGTTAAAAGAGACTATAAGCATAGAACTTACGGCTATATCTGGCCAGTAATACTGTAAATTGGTGAGATTTTGACGCCAGTCAAGTACTGTGCTTAAATTAAAAAAGTCCAGGTATCATAGCGAAAAGCTAACCCGAAAAATATTTATAAAAAAAGGTACAGAGTCTACCGTCCAGCGGTGGGCAACTGACTGAAGCCGAGCCGCCAGATCAGAACCAATAATATTGCTGATTCTTCTTTAGATCTTATCAAGGAGCTCCAGGTAAATAGCAGGGGCACCGGATTATATATGGCAGCAATATTCTAAGGATGGATGAATGATAGGGTTACAGATATGTAAGATAGATTCTGGAGTGAACCGACTTTTCTAGCAGTTGAACTGTTTTTTTGTCTTTTCGTCATTCGTTGGGAGATTGTCCAACATTGGCTACCATATAAAAGGATGGATACCGCATAGCAAACCAGCAATCTCCTTTTTGTTTCCAACGACTTTATTCAGTTTCTCAGCACCTTGATTAGCTTTTGGAATGCTTCTTTCCCTCATCCAATGCGTACTTCGGATCACGGAGTCACATTTTCAATCCTGTGTTAAAACGCTTCCCGAATATTTGACCTTTTGCAGCTGTTTGATGTTTATATCTTTAATTCGTAAGTCGCGTCTCAGGCTTTTTCTCTTGTAAATGATCAGACTTTCTGTCTTCTGACAGTTGATAGTTAGTCCTTTTATCTCGCTTTCTTCTACCGTCCTGTCTGGGAGGTCCTCTAGTTTCCTTTGCGAGTCGGCCATCAGTCCAGTGTCATCTGCGTGTCTTATATTGTTAAGATCACGTCCACCGATAATAAATCACCGTAGGACCTCCAGCTCCCCTAGGATAGTTTTACTGAAGAGTTTGAAGAAATCTTGAGAGAAGATGCATCCTTATCTCACGCCCCTTTCTATTTCGGTATCGCTAAAATTATTTCCTGTCCGTAGGCATGCGCTTAGCTCGCAAGAGAAGTCCTGTATTATTCTAACATCTTTTCCAAATAGATCTATTTTTTCAAACAGATTTGTCATTCCTTAGTGTTTTATTTAATTTCCAAGGTTACCTGAGCTGGAAAAGGTTCTAGGACTTTAAAAGATTTCGTTTTTGTGTGTATTTTAGGAGAAAGTGTATGTCCCCATATGATAAGCAAAGAAGAAGCATACAAAAACTTGGGTTTCTACCTTTTATCTCTTCTGAAACAAAGTTCTTAATGTCTCTTGGGTATTTTTCATTTTTCTTTTGGTCCAGCAGTTAGAGTAAAGCATCGTGTTAGTAGTCGAGCTCAGGTCAGCTTTGCGCAGAGTTGGAACAACCAAAGGAAGTTTTGTTCTTACTCTATTACCGGGAAGTCTAAACGTAATTATGGGGTGTCCGTTTCCTTTTTCTTGATCCAGAAGTTAGGGTAAATAAGTATAAACATCGACCCAATGGTCACACTTAAGTCAGCCTTGCGCTGAGTTGAAACAACCAAAGAGAAAGCTTGACTTACTTCATAGGTGGAGTTTTTTAGAGGACGCGTGCGAGCGCCATGCGTTGGAAAGTGGGAATAGAGTTCAGTCATCATCATCATCATCATCATCTTGCGGCCTCAACCGAGATTGAACTCACCAATACTTTGATTGGTGTAGTTCATAATCTTGTCAAATAGCTGAATTCTTGATGCTTCGCTCGGGCTATCAAGGGTGTTTTTATCGTGACACCAACACTAAATGGATTGCCAACCAAGGCTCAGAGAGACGCCATTCACCCTCCTCTAAGAGAAGGTTTGAATTCAGAGTTTTCCTTCTCCTAGACCAGTTGCCATCCAAGGCTATAAAACCCAGTCTGTCCTGCTATTTACCCATAGCTGGAGGGAGAAGAGAGAGGATTCATACCTTTCCCATGGGTGTTAGCACGTAAGTGAATGTAATGGATTCGACTGGAATTCGAACTCGGCTCTCCGATTCCTCAATCCAAGCCGATATCCATTACTCCACCGTGCCTCACTGAAAGGATCTATGTTCAGTCATCAGTGGACCGAGAAAACTAACATTTCTCAGCGGGAACGTAATTGCCACGGGGTGCTACATATTGGAACAAGGGGCGGGGAGAGGGTAAGGCAAGATCGTGTTTGTCTTTTTATAGACATCAATAGCGCCACCTAACGACGTTTTACGAAACCAAGTGGTATTATCATATTTCCGGTTCCTTTACTCTTAGCATCATGGGAAAATGTATTTTGTTATTATTATTATTCTATTGATTGATTTTATTTTTCAACGGGACACAGGTTGCTAGGAGGTAGAAAAGATAGAAAGATATGGAGAGCGTTAATAGCTCACGCCATGAAAAGACACGTCGCTGACATGAAGTGGAAAGACTATATTGAATCCATTGTTAAGTCAGCTGCTCAGAAAGTCGTGCAAGATAATTTTTCTCCCAAGAATCTATCATACATATTTATAAGTCTAACTTTCGCCGATGTTTAGAATATTGCTGCCGCATATGGTCCGGTGTCCCTGCTATTTACCTTGAGCTTCTTGATAAGATCCGAAGAAGAATCAGCAATATTATTGGTCCTGATCAGCTCTCAATTTTGGATCTACGCTGATGACACAACCATTTACTCCTGACTCGATAGTAAGGCTAATCAGTCCAACACGATGATCAAAATGTCAGCCTCAAAACGACCTCAATTCCGAAGTTAACTGAGGCAAAAGATGGCTTGTTAATTTTTTGAGCCTGCAACTGTTCTCTATTAATCAACTGAGAGACCCCGCTCTGCCTTCCATCAGCAAGGCTGATACTAAATGCAAGGAAAGCGACTGGTTGCGATTCACGGGCTAACGTTCTCAGCTGATATAAAGTGGAAAGTCTATATTGAATCATCATTGCTTGATCAAATGCAAAGAAATTCGGGTCAGTGTGTCGTGGGAGACATTTTTTCACTCAAGACTCTATCTTATATATCTATAAGTCTACCATTCGTCCATGCTTTGAATATTTGTGCCACATATAGTCTGGTATCCCTGCTATTTACCCTGAGATTCTTCATAAGATCCAAAGAAGAATCGGCAATATTATTGGTTCTGATCTGGCGGCTCGGCCACAGTCACTTTCACGCCGCTGTAAGGTTGATTCTCTGTGTCTTTTCTATAAATACTTTCATGGTAAGGGTTCGGATGAGCTCTTTGGTATGTTGCCTAGGTTTTATGGATTTAAAACTTCTCCAGAACTAAACTTCTCTCCATTAATCATCTGAGAGATCCCTCTCTGCTTTTCAGTAGCATGGCAGATGCTAACCTCTAAGAGAGAGAGACTCGTTGCGTCTTCTCGGACAAACTTTCTCAGATGACATGAAGTTGAATGACTATATTGAATCCATTGCTAGGTCAGCTACTAAGAAAGTTGGTTCACTGTGTCGTGCGAGACAATTTTTCTTACCAGAATCTGTCTACCATTCACCGACCCATACTTAGAATATTGCTGCCATATATGGTTCTGTACCCTTGCTATTTATTTTGACCGTCTTTATAAAATCCAAAGAAGAATCAGCAATATTATTAGTCCTGATCTGGCAGCTCGGCTTCAGTCACTTACCCACTGTCGTAATATAACTTCCTTGTGCCTTTTTTATAAACATTTTCATGGTAATTGTTCGGATGAGCACTTCACTATCGTACATAGACTCGAAATACTAGATTGGCGTCGAGATCCCATTAATTTACAGCTGATCTTACTAGATGTAGCCGTAAGTTTTATGCTAAGAGTTTCTTTTCTCGCTTATTGAATTCCCTTCCGGCTACCATGTTGTTCAGTCAATTTTGCTTTGATTTGTTTTGTTTTACAGCATATCAACCTCAATGGGTCATTTAATGCTGACTACATTTTTTTCTTGGTAATATTTTTGTTTTGTCAAAAATCTATTTCTGTTAATATTATTTTTTCAAAAACGTATAGCAGGTAATATTATTTTTTTCAAAAACGTATAGCTGGTAATATTTTTTTTTCAAAAACGTATAGCTGGTAATATTTTTTTCAAAAACGTATAGCTGGTAATATTTTTTTCAAAAACGTATAGATGGTAATATAATTTTTTCAAAAACGTATAGCTGGTAATATTATTTTTTTTCAAAAACGTATAGCTGGTAATATTTTTTTCAAAAACGTATAGATGGTAATATTATTTTTTTTAAAAACGTATAGCTGGTAATATTTTTTTTTTCAAAAACGTATACCTGGTAATTTTATTTTTTTCAAAAACGTATAGCTGGTAATATTATTTTTTTCAAAAACGTATAGCTGGCAACATTATTTTTTCAAAAACGTATTATCAGAGGCCTTGCTCTTATCGTCATACCCAGGACGCCAGTCAACTTTAATCTGCAAAAATTTAAATGCAATGTGAATCGCTATCTACAGTCCTCCTGATTACTCTTTTCTCTCCCGGCTCATTAATGTTTCTGTTCCTAATTCTTCCACACCCTGTAACCACCTTGTGTTTTATTGGCTTTATTGCCTTGCTTGGGGTGATACCAATCAAAAAAAAAAAAAAAGAAAAAAAAAAGATTAACTTGAAATTAAAGCAATAGTCTTACACAGAATTTGAACTCGGGTTGCCGATTTCATTTTCCGCATGGATACATAATGAAAAGCACACTTTTTCTAATTCAACGTTTGCTACGTGACCCGGATGAAAATGCGACTGATCAAAAAGATGAAATGCAGCTGAAACGGTAACCAAACGATCTCTTCACTAATATCGTAACATACGTTCTGTTAGTTGGTGGCGCAGTAAGACAATTTTACAATGCCTGCACACAAAAGGAAGCAGAAGCGTCATCTGGTGAGGAACTGATTAAGTGAGGCAGAAATAATGTGCTAAACTAGACGTTCCTGTTTCATTCAAAATTATTCCAAGTATTTTTGTTTCCTTTTCTAAAGCATTTCAGTTTGTATCATGCATCTACGGTTAAATATACTCTATTCATTTAAAGAACCATACACTGAAGGGATCTATGTTCAGATCTATCTGATTTTCATTTCTTATCTAAGACTGTCCTATTCTATCTATCTATCTATCTATCTATCTATCTATCTATCTATCTCAGCCTATTCCTATATATATATATATATATATATATATATATATATATATATATATATATATAATTTACCCCTGACAAACTTGATGAATTTCATATTAACATCAAGACAAAAGATTTTCATTTATCCCTCTTTTTCTTTCTATCTATCTATCTATCTATCTATCTATCTATCTATCTATCACACACACACACACACACACACACACACACACACACACATATATATATATATATATATAATTGACTCCTGACAGACTTGGTGCTTTCCTTGATGAATTTCATATTAACATCAAGACAACTGATTTTCATTTATGATCTGTCCGTCTTTTTCTATCTATCTATCTATCTATCTATCTATCTATCTATCTATCTATCTATCTATCTATCTATCTCAGCCTACACACACACACACACACACACACACAGACATATTTATATATATATATATATAATAAAAATAGTTTTATTGTATGCTATATTTATGGGTTAAAGTACTCATTATCAGGGATAGAGCATATGTAAATATAAAAGTGGACATTGAGGTCTACACCCAGCGGTGACGATATGTTTTACGCTTAAACGCTATCGATAGGCCATCCGGGATGTGTTTTGGGTTGACTGTTTATATATTCAGGTTAGTGGTGCATTATGTGTAGGCATATCTTATTATTCTAACGGTTATTTGGGTGTGTGTTATGTTTGGAATTGTTCTAGGGTTTATTGAGTGGAAATAATTGTGGATCCGAATGCAGTTTTGTGACTATTTTATATTTTTTTTTGTTAACTTAGTTAATCATAATTTATTATTAATTATCTTATTATATGCTTTTGGTTGGTATGATTACGTTTACTTGTGTTTATGTGCGCGTCCTTGGAATCTTAATTTGATTACAATTTACTAAATTTATTTAATATTTAGTTTTATTTATTTCATTTTTTATATTTATACTTTATGTTCGTTTTTAGATTTCAGTTTTTAAGTAACGAAGTAAGATTTTGGATACGACCTAGACATAATATTTAGGATTCG